TGCTTAATTTTTAATATTTATAAAGAGAACAGATAAATAGTGAAAATGGAAATTACAGATAAATGTTTTTGGCTTATCATTTGTCAGTCAGTATAAATACTATTTACTGGTTTATTTAGTGCTAATAATCATTTAATGAATGTTTAGTCATTTGTAAGGACTCTTTTATTGTAAAGTGGTATATCTGATTATATATAAATACGGTCAAATTTAAAATTTAATTTAAAATAAATTAGATTTTTAAAAGATTTTTTCAGATTTGGAACGTATTTTATATAAAACGAAGTCATTGGCAGGCAGGAAAAACTCGTATAATAACCCTGTATAATATATTGAAATTTTAGTCATTTAAGTTTAAAAATATAAAATAGCAGGTTTTGTCAAAGCACAGCGACGGAGAGGAAACAGATTTGGAAGAAGAGTAAAAGGTAAGTGGATGGGTTTTTTACAGTATTTACTAAATGTACAAGAAGGTTGTGAGATCTGCAAGAGAAGGAGAGGGTAACATGTCCAGGGAGGATTTAGACGAGACAAGTGTGATTGTTTTATACAGGTCTGGAGAAGGTCAGCAGAGGTGAGTAGATCCAGGTGAGTACAGATTCAGTGGGTGCAGGTGAGGTGAGTGGTCAGGCAGGGAAGTATGTCCAGGTTTGTTCAAGACACAAAGATAATTTGATGTCAGGAGGCAGAGTTTTGTTAAAAGGGCAGAGGAAATCACAGGTTAGTATAACTGAGACAACAAATGTTATCATGTGAACAATATGCTCCAGCAAAGGACAGATCCTCCAGAATCTGCTGCAGCTGCTGAGAAACGCTGCTAGCAGGCTCAGCTAACCGCTAGTCACAGCCAGGTTTTATTTTAAAAACGTTTGTTTAAAATTATCAAAATGCCATCAACTTTGATTATGAAAAATACCTTTTCACATAAAATGTATAAGTGTAATCAGCTTAGAAGTGTTTGAAAGCTAAAAGGTGAAACCTGAGTTTGCTTTGAACTTTTTTAAAGCTATTTTGTAGATATCCCACAGACGTGCTGTGTGTGTGTGTGTGTGTGTGTGTGTGTGTGTGTGTGTGACTGTGTGAAACAGACATGTGTACAGAGATGACAAATGGCAGCCGAGCGAAAGAATCTTTGAAGAAATCAAATAATTTGTTCCCTCAGAGGCAAA